TTTACTTGATACCTAACTTCTATATTTATATTTGTGTAATTATTTGAAATTCGTTTAAAAAGTTAAGATATCACAGTAAAACATTCTTTCATAGGTACTTTATTTTCCCAATTATCATGTCATATCTAAAACTTAATATCAATTTTATTTACATTAAAAAACTTTGTTATAAATAGGTATGTATTCCTATTTTTAATTGCATTTATCTCCGATTGCAATATGGAACTTTTGATTGGCTAGATTTGTGCGTACGTCACGCTTATATCTTGCGTTATGGCAGAGTATCACGAAAACGTAATACTAATGCCATGGATTCCATTGGCAATCCATTGGAATTATCCAATCCCATTGTCTTCTCTTTGCCACTTGGAGCAGATTACGAGGAGAATCCGTGACACCAATAGACACTATTGGCCATTTAAGACAAATAATCTTGATTATTCATGACACAACAGTTTTATTAAAACGATGCAAAAATTGATTAAAAAATTTATATTATGTAAAAAACATTATGAAGAATACAAATAACATTTTTATGAAACAATATGCAACTGAAATATATTGTTGACTTCTTATAATGTACGTTTTTCTAAGAGTTTCTCTCAGAGTGAAAATACTCGTTATTTTTTGTTTGTACAAAATATATTAAAATATTGATAATATATTATATTAAGAAACATTTCAAGTAAAAAATTAATGTTGAGCATTAATCTTCTTCTTCTTCTTCTTCTTCTTCTTCTTTGATTAATGCACTTTGTACATTATCTTCATCAATTTCATCACTAACTGTAGCTTCGTACTCTTGTTTCTCTATATTTGTGTCTTGTTTTTCAGAATCATCTTTCTTGTCACTTTCATCCAGTGATTTCTGTACATTGTTGTTACTAACTATCATTTCTGTTGAATTTGATGTCTTTTTCCCCTCTGTATCTCCATTTTCTTCTTTTGTCGCAGCCCTCTTTCTTCCTCTTCCTTTTTTCGTCATTATCACTGTCTCCATAGTTATTTTCTCCTGTGCTTTCTGAGTAACTTCTGTCAATTCATCGTCAACATTACGTTTTGCAGTTTTGCCACGAGTTCTAGTAGGTTTTTTTCGGATTGTTGAGTTTTCCTTATTTTTGATACTATTTGGACGCAATCTTTGTTTCATTGGAGTATCTCTAGATGACACAATTGTTCTTTTTGCAACCATGTTTTCTTCTAAAATATTAATATAATTTTTTAATCATATTGATAACATCATCTTCATTTTTATCATATATGTATAAGTTTACCTTGCTCTATGTCATCAACCTGAGCTTTTTTCTTGCTTAACTTTACTTTTGCTGCTGCCTCTGTATTCGCCTGTTTTTTCCTTTTTACAGCTACTATTTCTGGATGATCTGCATTTTCCGCTTTACCGCTTTTCGTTTTAGCTGTGAATATGATATAATAATATAAGTACAAAATAATAAAAACGTAAAAATAAAAATCATGAAAATCATGCACACCTAATTCCGTTACAGTATTTTCTTCAGCTTGTTTATGTTTTTTATTTGTCGAAGTACTTTTGGCGGTCGTCGTTTTACTCGCCGGTTTCACAGTTTTCGCTGCGTTGACGGTCTCAATTTGTTCAACTTTTGCTGATTTCGCAGCTCTTGGTAATCGGATGGGTTTTTCCTCATCACTTTTGTTCGCTGACTTTGTAGCGGTTTTCTTCTTTTTCGTTAGTGATATATCACCGGCTTCTGCGACCTTGTCTGCAACCTCCGAAACAGCATGTTTCACAATCTTCCGGGGCGCCATCGCACTTTTTCAATCGGAGAATCGTTTTCAAGTCAATTCTAATTCTTTTTCTTCGTGTGTCGCTAGTTTTAACAACGATAAAATATGTGTTAAATCTTTTGTGCTTGATCTCCCAAAACTTAAAAGTTAACCGGCGTCGCAACGTGTTGCTGTTCTTCGCAGTTCACAGTTTACACGACTAACATAGTAGCAGATCGGCAACTTCAATTGACTTCAACTGCGCTGTTGGTTTGGTAATCGACAATAGATCTTTAGATTAAAAAATGGCGCCTTAATTATTAAATGGTAATTTAATGTTGGTAGAATGTTTATTACGTAAAATTTGTGATAAAATGAATTATTGTGCAGAATTTTTTCATATCATTTAAGAATCACTCCTAAAAATCACAGAATTTTGCCCCCCTCGTAACCGTTTTTTTAATTTATTGCGATTTGTCATTTAAACGAATTTGATTATATTATCGCTGATATTTTTCATAGTTTCTTTTTATTTCGATTTTATTATATATTGATATAGTGGTATAATAAAGTAAACAGCCGATTTTTATGAATAAAAATATCGGATGTATATATGCACATACATACATATCAAGTACGTAAAGCATTTCATTTCGCGCAACTCCTTTGCATCATTTGAAAATGAGACTTGCTAATCTACTGTATTTTTTATAATTAAAGTATTCTATTCAAATTGGAGAGTTTGATTCGTTATATTATTCGATTATTAGTTAATTGTACTAATTTGAGTGCATATCATTCAAAAATTATGTCAAAAATAATAATAAACGGATTATAGATGATTTCGCTAAAGCTGTTAAATATATGCTATTAAAATTTTTAAATATATTATGAAAAAATATTATATTTTAACATCGTAATAATTACAAATAGCGTCGTTCGATCAAGGATGGCGCCAGGAGCTATCGCCTATGTTCGCATCAAAGAAGATCTTCTTTGGCTCGCATAACCCTGTTGTATGAAACTTCGTGTAAACAAAAGTTGTGACGATATACATTTAATTATTACAAATTAAAAAAATAAGATAAAATTATTTCATCGAACATTATGTATTAAGTTAAACGTTCATATTTATATCAATTTATAAAGGTAAGCAGTGCAATCAGTATCAAAACCTGCGACTATTGTTTTTAGTTGTTACTTATTATTTTTACATTGTTTATAGATGAATACCAACAAGAAGATCAATATAAACTTTTCGTCTTTGGTGGGCCTAAAAGCAGAGCTTTTAAGAAAACAACTTGAAGTGAACGAAGTCAAATTAAAATCAGAAATTAATCATACTATACCAAAAGTTAAGAAGAGGCCTAAAAAGGTTAAGGAAAAGAGTGCAGAAGAAAATACAGAGAAAACAGAATACATTGAAGACGTGAACACCCATAAAAAGTCAAAATTAATGTTGGAAGCAAAAGCAAGATTGTATAAACGGTTAAAAAAGTCCAAACATAATAATGAAAATTTCCTTGTAGATTTTATGAATAAGTCCGATGAATCCGAAGAGGAAACATTGTCGAATAGCGAGAAAGAAGATAACAATGCAACGTTTGGGAATGAAGATGATTGGGTTGAATATGAAGATTGTTTTGGTCGTACAAGAAAATGTTTACGTGAAGATTTATCTGTTATGCAAGAAAAGGATAACTTAATCAAGCAACAAATTGTTAACAAAAAAGGTATTGATTCCAAAATTAAAGATAATATTATACATACCACTGTAACAGAGGAGAAAGAACCTGAAATAGAAATTATGAGAAGAAAATGGGAAGAACAAATGCAGAAATTAACAGATAAATCAAATATACACTACCAGGATGTTTTGTTTGATGAAGCAAGAGCTCATGGTGTCGGTTACTATGCATTCTCACAAGATGAAGAGGAGAGAATCAAACAACAAGAGAACTTATTTAATTTAAGGAAAGAGACAGAACGAAAACAGAGAGAAAGTAAAGAACTAAAAGAATTGAGGGATAGAATGGAGCGCAATAGAATAAAAGCTGCTAAGATTAGGCAAAGAATTAGGGCAGGCTTACCAATAGAATTGGAAGAAGAGGAAGTCAAAGAAAAAGAAAAGGCAGAGTCGAACGCAGGCATATCAGAGACAAGTAACAAAGAAGAAAATTGCAATAAGGAGGAAGAAAGCAAACCCATAGATAAAGAGAGCAAAATAAAAGCCTTAGGAGAATTGTTGGGTAAAAGAGGTCCCTGGTATGAAATGTCTCAAGAAGAATGGGTACACAAATGTAGAAAAGTTAGAATTAACGAATTTGGTCCAGTTTATGATAATTTTAAAAGCGACGGCTATTTAGTACGCAATGACAATGATAAAAAATCTGATTCTTCCGATACAACTACACAAAATAAATTGGAAACCAATGATAATGAGAATATTGATTCCTATGATATTCCACTTCCTCCTACGTTAGAAAGCTATGTCAATACTGAGAACGATACTATTTTGCAAACAGGTTGTAATACTTCCCATGAAGCTGGAAGTATATATATAAAAAAAAATATTTCTCCCAATAGTATACAAAATCAAATGAAAGTTAACAGAAATATAGATGAAGCAAGTATAGCAGCAGGACTGAGGTATTTGAGAGAAGAATTTGAAAAAGGACAAAATATTTGAAATATTGTATAGTATAATAGTCATTAAATGTTTATTATGTGTTTGTGAATTTGAGCCTTAAGACATATATTTAAGAGAACCAATTTCGTTTATAACAGAAAAATGTTGAAGTATTCTATAAGGGAAAAATGTTCTATGACTTGTAAATATTTATATGTATATATGTATATTTGATACTTCAGGTTATTAAAGACACTGACAACCATATATCACACAATATTTATTTACTAAAAATATATCAATAGTCTTTTCAGTAATTGTATTATATCAAAAAGGACCTTAGTTGTAAATCACAGATTCTTACAAGCTATTACACAATTGTTGATAGATAATGTTTTAATGATTCCTGCTTTTCAAGTGTTGCC